TGCCGAGTTGGTGGGGAAGTCCGTCTCGGCCACCACAGGGTCCCACTCCCATCCCCAGCCCTCAGGACAGTGCATGGTGCCTAGACAGCCCAGAGAGGGCCTCCAACCTGCAGACGCTGGCGCGCTTGCTGCCAGTCTGCGAGTCCTGCCGGGTTCTCTGCCCCACACCACCCAAGGCAGGCTAGAGCTCTGCCCAGCCTGGGGCCCAGACTCCGAGGCCTCCGTCCTGGTGCCCTGCCACCTGGCACTTCAGTCCTTTTCCCCGCCCCCACCTGTCGCCTCCGGCCAACAAAAACACAAAGAAGTCTCTTTTTAAAAAAAATAAAAACTTCAGGCTTTTAAAAAAACAGTAGCCAGGCAGGAAGATGTCTTTGTTGGGACTTGTACTTTCCCCAGAAATCTCCTGGCAGACAAGGTGTCAGGAAAGGGCCAGCTGCCTCTGACGGGGCCCAGGTGATGACCTCCACCAAGCCTCTGCGGCTCCAGTGGCGGAGGGAGGGTGGGCCACGGCGACCATGCTGACGAGGGCTCTGAGCCGAGCTTCATGCACTGCACTGAGTGCCTCCCAAACACCCCTCTTACCTTCCCATGTCATCACCCACCTCCGGCCTCACTTGACACCACCCTTAAAAACAGTATGTGAGGAAGTCAACTGCCAGGAGGCAGCTCTCACAGCCACAGCTCACTAAGAAGGGCAGGGTCGTGGTGCCAGGCCTGAGGCCCATCCAGCATTGGTGTCCCTTAGAGCCTGCTGCCCGCCAATAACTCAGAGGGAAGGGGGGGCAGGGGGGTGGGGGGTGAGGCTCTCTCTACTGCACTGCGGAGTAGAAGAGAAGATGAAAAGGAAGAGCCGAGAAACCCAAAGTGCAAAGAGCAAAAAACATCTCCAAAGTCCCAAACCACCCTCAGCCCACCTGGGCCCTGTGGTCTATGATTAACAGAACAATGGCGTTCCCTGCATCTCACGGGTGAATACCCTGCTCCAGAACGCACCGGGGAGGGGGTGGCTCAGGCTCCAGGATTCCCTACTGGGGGAGAGAGACCTCCTACACGCAGTGGGTCTTCCTGGGGCACCACCTCTCCTCCAGCCAAGCAGGGCTCTTCATCAAAGGGGACTCATTCTAGAAGAAAAAATCTTTGCTAAAACAATGCAACCTCTCCACAAAGGAGCCCTAATTACTTGTGCTGTGCAAATGGGATACTGTAAGCAGCCAGTGGTTCCAGTGGCTGAATGCCAAGGCTGCTATTAACCCACTCCAAGGCCCCATTCCTGCTGTACACACAGAGAATGGCTCAGGCCAACTTAGTGGCTACGATGTTTGCTTAAGATAAAAACAGGCAGGTTGCTTTAAGGTCTAGCGGCCTTTGCAAACACTGCACTAGGACACAAATTCAGTGGACCGCAGACCTGTTTGGAAGTCAGGGCAGTCGGGGAATAACATCAAACAATTACAAAGATAGAAACCAGAAACTAGTTGATTAACATGGATGTAACTATATCAGAGGGAAGTGATGGAGATCAAACCTGCAAGCACATCTGTGTTTGCACAGAGAGAGGAAGCGAAAAAGAAATAAGTAAGACCAGTTAATAGATTGAGTCTTGTTCCTGACATTTTATTTGTTGCTGCTTAATCATTCTCTCTCTGGCTAGTGTCTGCCAGCAGCCAAGCACTAGCAGGGGCTAGAAGTGTAAGAAATACTTATGGACAAAAAACTTGAATTAGAAAGTTCTGGGTATCAATTTTCCTTGTTCTGAAAATTGGTCAATTTACAGGCGAGGAGCATGGGAGCCTGTATTCAGAGGTGTGGACCTTTGTTAATACCCGACCTGCAGTCCTGCAAAGGGACAGCACTTCTGGCCAATCCCTGCGCCTACAGATCATATTCCTCTGGCATTTACCAGGGCATCTCCCAGGCAGATTCTCCGCAAAGCCTCCTGATGTCGCTCAAATGAAAGGCTCTCAGGGAATGTCCCTGAGCCCTTCCAGGGCGGTGCTGGGATTGGCAGTGGTTGGTGGCAATGTGTCTGCAGGGGACTCAGAAAGTGCCTGGCTCGGCCCCGCGCATGCCCTTGGCTCACGGTCTCAGGGATGCAGGATCCTGGTCAGGGTGGGCCTGGCCTTTCAGAATGAAGCAATTGCCTCATCTCTTTCTTCGATTCTTAAAGAGCTAGACTGCACCTTCCCTCATTCATAGAATCTGCAAACTGATATCTTGTCAGAAAATGCTATTTGGACTGAAAAACATGTTATAGGATGAGATGCTTCTCTGTGCCTCTGTTTTCCCACCCATAAAATGGAGATAAGAGTTTGTGAGGACTGAGTGAGCTATTTATTATATGTAACTCACACAGACCAGTGAGAGGCAGCAGCAGCTGCTTCCTAGACATGTTGCTATTATCACTGTAGGAAATGGTCCAGCGTCATACGTGGCTCAGCTTTTGTTCTGGAGGTACCAAGTAGAAGCATCATTAGCAAAAAGGAGAAAACAATGCATTCAAGAGGTGCTGCTTCCCCCGTTCCAACATCAAGAGAGGTTTCAGGGCCCACGGTGAGGGCTGCAGCTGCCCGGGTGCTGGGAGCTGCCAAACGGTGGCTAGATGAACTCTGGGCTGCGCCCCCTCCCCTGCACTGGCTGGACCACCCCTTGGGAAGCTCTTGTAACAGTGTATGGGGAGAGGGAGGCTGGAACGCCACTGTGACCGCTGTGGCAACAATCTCCCAGGCAACGACATAGCTGCTGTGTCCCTCTCATTTCATAACTGGCTTTCAGAAGCTGGAACCTGCCACAGGGTGAGCTTGGGGAAAGAATCTAAAATGGAAGGTCAAGGACACCTCTCCAGGGACATCACCTTTTCATTTCGCTAGGAATAAAAGCTATCGCTTCACTCTTCATCCTCCAGGGCAACACCCCGGCTTTCTGATGACCACAACTTGGAGGCAGGACTTGAAGGGAGTGTGTTTATTGGGGTTTGGGATACAAAGAGAAAGAAAGAGGAGATATTGAGAAATCTGTCCTATCTAATCCCCTTTTTTAAGTCAGAGCTGAGAGCAACATGTACACCCAGAGTCTCTGACACTTTGAGTGCTGGTGCTGCCCAGCTAAATGGGGAGCAAAAATGACTCTCGGATGCGAGTGTCCTTGTGAAATCACCGGTCCCTGAGATTTTAGGTGAGATGTGTGTGCCCTGCTCATGCTCCAACCTCTGTACCAGATGTCCACCAGCAGACCTTCCCCGGAGCCCAAACACACAATCATGTCTGAAGACCAGAAAGAAACTATCTGTCCTTTGGGCACCATGTAATCCTAATGCGGGTAAGAACATTCAAAGTTAAGTTACTGTTTGCATTTCACAAAGGAAAGCTGAGGTTTATTTAAGGCCATAAAATTGAAGCCAGAGTTTTATTTTCAAGTTCAAAATATATATATATGAAGGTAAAAAAATTCCTTTGGAGGAAATCTATATATATAAAAGGCTATCTAAAAACAACCATTGCAACCAAACGGACGACCGAACAATAGGCTGTGTGGGGCAACTAGGCCCATAGGAGGTTAGTAAGGGGCAACCAGGTTGGTGGGGAGGGTGGCAGTTGGGGGTGACCACACTGGCAGGGGGGGTAGTAAGGGGCAACCAGGCCGGCGGAGGAGGGGGTAGTTGGGGATGACTACACTGGCAGAGGGGCAGTTGGGAGTGACCAGGCCAATGGGGGGGGGGGGCAGTTAGGGGCAATCAGGCAGGCAGGCAGGTAAACAGTTAGGAGCCAATGGTCCTGGATTGTGAGATGGATGTCTGATTACCGGAACTGGCCTAAACCAGCAGTTGGATATCCTTCAAGAGGTTCCATATTGGAGAGGGTGCAGGCTGGGCTGAGGGGACAACCCTCGTGCATGAATTTCATGCACTGGGCCTCTAGTATCTTAATATCTGAGATGACTCTTCAATGGGTCAATTCCCCACCAAGAAAAATGGCAACAAAACGCAAGGCTTTTCACAGAGCTCAGGGGAATAAAAACAAAACTCAGTGGACATTGTTGTGATACCAGAAGCCAGCAGAACCGGAAACAGCTACAAGTCAGAGCTGAGAACAAAACAGTGCCAGGACAGGTGAACACCGATGGCTGGACATTGGGATCCAGGGAGACAAGAAAGATAGAGAGAGGATAAGGAGGCAGGGCTGGAAGAGGCATCAGAAAATCAGAGAAAAGATGGAAAATTGGGGTCCCAGTTGTTGAGGCAAAATTACCTCCAAAACAGACAAACGTTTCAGGGTCCCAGACACTCAACCTGAGCCAGTGGGTGGCCTGCTCTACCCCAAAGAAAAAGAGGAGACATCTATAGTTTTTGTTTGTTAACCACCTGTTGCCCCTTCTTTGGAAAGAGAACCCGAGTTTACATGTGGGAGCCACGTCTCCCCTCTCAGACACATGGTCAGATAACATCTACCCTAGCCCCAGTGACAGCAGTGGTCACATGGTCCAAACCTGGCCAATCACAGAAGCCCATCACCCAATCCCAAGGTGAAGGAATAGGCTTGAGATACAAGACAGACCCAAGAGAAATGCTGGGGACATGACTGAGACTCCCCGGAGGCCAGAGTCAGCGTTGCTGGGAGCCATCTCATCACTCATCAGAGAACAGCCGGAAAGGGGGCCTCATTAGAGCACCACGGGGGGTCAGATTTTTAGACACACAGGACAGGCGCTCCTGAGGCCAGAGCCACGCCCGGCCTCCTCAGTTCCCACAGAAGCCACAGAACGCCCCTCACACGCTGTGTGAACCGAGGGCCCATGGCCACACTGAGAGGCTAACAGTGTGAGAAGCCACCTGGCCCCCTCCTGTGGACGGAGGACCAGTTCCCCGGGAGCTGGCTGCAGAGTGCAATGGCTGCAGCTGTGGCCTCGCAGAACAGCACAGCACGCTACTGCCAAGAGGCCAAGACCAGAGCAATAAACGAGTCAGATCTCCCCCAGAGCTGCCAACCTGGCAGCCAGGAGCTTACCTGATATACGTGGAATGCATTCGCTGCTTTGCCCCGGAGAAACACGGATGGGATCCAGACGTTGATCAGCGCCCGGTTTGATCTGATCAAAGAAAAGATCAAAATGGGTCATTTCAATTTACCAAAAATCTTTTCCTCTAAGATGCAAAACGTTTATGGCAACGACTCTAACAACTTAACAGTAAAGGGCCAGTTTTAAGTTGCATTACTTGGTCCCCAAAGATTATTCTTAAAGGGCTTAGTTTAAATATATATATATATATAATTTACATTTTCAGTTTGTCTTCTGGAATGTGAACAAGCTGCCCCTCAGTTCTGAGTATCACATTCATAATGTATATGAGCCTCTGAAGAGGAGGATAACCAGAAGCCCCTGAGGATACTGCGGAGGGTCGTGCGGTAATGGCCCCAGGGTCTCTGGAGCACCGGGGGGAGTCATGCTGCCTCCTCACTGTGCTCACTCTAGACCCTCTCCCTGTTTTGAGAGGAGAACCCATGAGAAGAGAGCTCAGGAGATAAGCAGCCATGACTATGAGAGCAACAGCTGTGGGGGAGGGAAAACAAAGAACGACGAGGTAGAATACCAGGGAGCCAGGAACAAAAACTTTGTGCATGGCTCACATAAAACCAGACTTAAAGTCAAATACAAAATCACTTACCAAGTACCCAACAACTTATGCCTCCATGCTTTTATACATATTATCTTAGCTAATCCTCATAGGCTATTTAAGGAACTTTCAAGGGTTATTATTTTGGTCATGTGACAGTCTTGCCTCCTTGAAGGCTTTCAACTCAAGTTATGAGTCACTGGGTATACACACCCCCTCTTTCACCATCCAGCCCACCACCCCACTCCCACCAGGCTGGATCCAGGCCATGAGGAGCTGATAAGCTAACTGTTGCTGAAACATCAAGACCAATCATAAGAGCTATCCAACCAGCACTGTGAATGCCTGAAAGGGCTGGGAGGTTCTGGCCTTCCCCCACTAGAGCTACCCCAGGGCTACTCCAGAGCTACTCCACGTCCCTCCTACCCCCCTCCCCACCAGCCCTCCTTCTTGCCAAAGAGCTCCTACAAAGCTGCTCTCTCCTGTCTGGGAATTTGAGATGTTGATCATGGAAGAGTCCATGACTCAGGATGTCTCACAACCTCTAGAATAAAGTGCCATGACTCAGGATGTCTCACAACCTCTAGAATAAAGTGCACTTTATTTCCACACAGAAATGGTCCTCTCCTAAGCAGCATTTCTTCTAAGCAATGAGGTGCTGACCTAGTTCATTGAGCAAAATATTGATCATTTCCCCAGGGCTCCAAGTACAAACTGCAATTCTAAGCCACAAAATTGGTTTGTATATCTAATGATAGTCTTCTTGTAAAGGTCCCCCAAATTGTACTTGTGCCCAAAGTGTTCCCCTTTCATTTATGTCGAGGTGGGAGGGTGTTTGTGTGTGTGTATGGGGAGGGGGGTGCAGAAGTGCAGCTAACACCCTGATTTCCATTAGCCTTCCTGCATTGCTAAGGCCAGATAACCTCCCGGCATTTCTCCCTTTCAGAGCACATACCACACTGCACTGAACTGCCTGTTTGAACGGCCCTCTCCCTCCTAAATATTAGTTCATTTGCTCATCCTTTTGTTTTTCACTCATGCATGAAACAAGTAGCTATTGAGAACCTACTATGTGCCAGATACTATCCCAGGCATGAGAGCGCGAGCAATAAAGAAAGCAGACACAGGCCCAGCCCTCATGGAGTGTGCACTTTAATGGGGGAGAGGCAAATCCCCATAAAAATCACTGGGCTGTGGTCGGAGAAGATACTTTGTATGAACTTCCCTCTGTTTAGATTTACTGAGACTGCTGTGTGGCCTCGCCTGTGGTCTATCCTGGAGAATGTGCCATGTGCGAATGCTGCTGCTTGGTGGTATCTGTGCGCGTTTGTTAGGCCTTCCTTCCTCAGTGTGAGTCCAGTGTCCTGTTTCCTTATTAGTCCTCTAGTTCTTCCCATCATTGAGGGTGGGGTATTGAAGTCTCCAACTATCACGATAAAACCATTTCCTTTCATTTCTGTCCGTGTTTTACATGAAATGTTTTGCAACTCTGCTGTTAGGTGCATTTATGTCTGAACCTTTTACACAAACATTATTTAGTATCCATGCTGCGGGGCCCCGAGGAACACCGGCTCTAAGGAGAGTGGACATCGGGGGGGTCCTGCTTCTTTCAGGAAGCAAGGTTTGGGCAGGGCTTTGGGGAACACTGAGAGTTAGCCGAGTGGGGGAGGAGAGGCTGAAAATAGGAAAGGTTATTTCAGGCAAGGAATTAAAGTTCGTGAAGGGCATGATGTCTAGATCAAGACTGCCCAGATCTGAATCCTGCTCAAATCTGTCCTCTGTAGCCAGCAGCCATGTCAGGGGGTTGTTGAGGGAAGGAGTTAGAACAGCGCAGAGAAAACACTGTGTCTGCATGGGCTCAGGAAATAAGTTGATCGTCCTGAGCAGGGAAGACAGAGTGAGTTAGCGGTGCTGTTGGCCGGGGTGGGATGGCTGTGTGCAGGAGGGGATGAGAGCAGGCGAGGAAAGGAACCAGGGTCAGCAAGGGCCTTCTGGGCACACCACAGGGAAGATTTGGGTCTCCAACATGAGAAAGAGAAGCAGCGCATCCCTCTGGCATGAGTGGAGATAAGCACACCTGCGGAGGAGGCTGCACACCTCCGGGGAGATGAGCTGACTGGACCCGGCAGAGGCGGCTTAAGGCAGGGACTGCGACTCATCCCCCCCACCAAGGGCATGACATGACACTACCCTGCAGCAGGTGCCCGCTAAGTTTTTACTTTAATAAGGACTTCCTTCCGGTCACAACTGACACGTCTCGGGGATGCTCCTGTCCAGCTCTCTCCTGCCTTCCCAGCTTGGCTCCCCTGGCCCTCTGCCAGGCGTCTATCCCATTATCCTCCTCATGCTGGATTCGCCCCACCCCTGGGAAGCAACTCACCTTCAGTTTTCATGCTTCACCTCTTTATCCACGGAGACCTCCTTATCCTACCAATCTGGCTGCCACCTGCGCCTCTGCTGCAGCCACCCAGGCTCCGAGAGGCTCCTGATGTCCTCCAGGATTTTCATAATCCCACTCAATCGCCCCCATAACCCTGCGAGGCTGGTATCATAACCTTCCTCTTATGGATGGAAAGCTCAGGCCAGCGAGGTTAAGTGCCTGCCCGAGGTCACACCAATGTGAGTCCTGTAGCTGAGATGTCAGCACAGGCCAGCATGGCTCTGACAAGATGCTCTTTCCCTGCCCCGCCCGGCCCTCTCTCCAGAGGTGGACTCTCCCCAGATGACACCTTTTCTCAGAGGCCAAACCTTCTTCCCACAGGCAAGTGAATGAGACAAGAGGGGATTTCTGCTGCCTTAATCCAGGGCCCACTCCACTCTTTACTGATAATCCAAGGGGATTATCAGTCCAAAAACCAAGACAACCTGATCAGAAATATTCAGTCTAAAGGCCAACCAAATTCCTTAGGAGTTATCAGCAAAGACACCAGACAGAACTGAGTCTAATAAAAAATCAGAGCAACGCACTGAGCTATTGTTCTTTCCAACAACCAGGGATTATAGATTCAAATCCCCACGGAGACACCCAGTCAATGGAATGAATGGTGAGCCAGAGTCAGGCAACAGGGAGGAGTGCGGACTGCGGTCCACTGATGAGCACTTGCCCTTTTGAAGGAGGAAGCTGCTGCTCAGCTCAGACTATGGCTTTGCAAGGATTTTCTTCTTTGGAAAAAAAAAATAGAGAAATTTACACACTTTTATGTGGTATATTCCAACTCTTAAATGTCAGGCAAAAAATAAAAAATAAATTGTTTTTCAATACTGAAGGGGAAACATAAAACACAGCTGAAGGCCAGACTCGGGCTGCAGGCGAACACCTCCCCACCTCTACCAGAACCAGGCCAGCCTGTGCAGACTTAAACAGTGATTTCTGTTTTCCCGTGCGGTCCTTCTGGGACTCAAGCCAAACCACAGAATCCTATTTCTAAAGGGCCCCCAAGCAGATGCAGTGGACTTACATTTCGAAATCCGACAAACTTTGATCTTCGGATGTTTGACTCAGATCTCCAGGCACCTGTCGTTAGGAGAGGAGAAGGGAGAGAGAATGCATCGTGGTTACCATGGCTTGCATCATCACAACAGAACCCTGCCTCTCGTGATCCCTGAGCACCCCCTGTTCAGATGGAGGTGGAAAAGCAGGGCTGGAACACAATGAGGTTCTGTGCAAGGATGGCTAGAGATGATGTTACAGGAACAAAAATATGCCACGAGCGATCTCAATCATTTTTACAGAAAAGGGGCTAATCATCCTGCCGAGATAATCACAGGCACATAAAAGCGTGCAATTGGGGAGCTATCAAGGCCTAGTTAAAATCTGAGATGCAAGATATCAAATGCGCAGTAGAAAAAATTATCCATTGTTGCCATGATGAACATCACACCACAGACACAACCGAAGCATAAACACACCCAGCCCATGCCTGCCTTCTGTGGCCCCATCCTTCCCCTCATAGGAAAACCCCAGGCAGCAGGACAGGGGACGACATGGCTGAGTGTGAGGCGAGCCTGCCTGCGTGATGGCAGCCACTATGTAAAGCAGACAGCACAACGGTCAGCACTGGTGGCTGCTCAATAAATGGTGCTCACATCATCACACCTGGGGATACATTTCCTATTGTAAGCTGATCAAATCTGAACTGGTTAGAGCTTAAGAATGTGGATCAATCTGGCTGGTGTAGCTCAGTAGTTGAGCATCAACCTATGAACCAGAGAAGGTCATGGTTCAAATCCCGGTCCGGGCATTTTCCCGGGTTGTGAGCTTGACCCCCAGTGTGGGGTGTGCAGGAGGCAGCCGATGAATAATTTCCTCTCATCACTGATATTTCTATCTCTTTCTCTCCCTCTCCCTTCTTCTCTCTGAAATCAATAAAAATATATTTTTTAAAAGAATGAAGATCAGAACTAAGAGGAATCAAGTGGAACAGAGATGGATGTGGGATAGTTAGGGAAAGAGAACTTGTACTTCACACTGCACACCTGTCAGAGATTTCATATTATACGACCACCTTCAGTCTGGTTAACAGTCCCAGGGGTGGATTCACCCTTGCCCTCCCCCTCCCGCCCCCTACTACTCTACAGATGGACTGAGGCTCAGGGAGGCCACAGGAGTGCCCCCAGTCACACATACACAAACCAGACATGAGTCCAGGTCTGTCCAACTTCAAAGGCTTTTCTGCTACAAATTCCCCAGACAGAGGAAACACCAGTGAACAGGTGAAAGGAGAAGGTGAGACGTAGCCAGAAGCTCTGCCCTTAGAGCATTCAGAAGGTCCCCCTTAAAGAAACAGTAGGTTTCCTTCAGAGGCAGGAGAACCCAGTGATTACGGAGCCTGTGCTCTGGGGCCTCATGGCTCCGGATCCAATCCCAGCTCCCCCTCTTCCTGACTGTAGAGTCATGAGCAAATCACCCAATTTCTCTGTGTCCCACTGACTTAATCTGAATGGATATAACAGTAGTAATATTCATAGGTTATTCTGAGGATAAAGAGATTCAACACCTATAGAGTATGCAAAACAGTGCCTAGCAATTAGAAAGGCCTCAATAACTGACTTGTATGCTATAATAACAATAAGACAGTTACTGAGAAGGAAGAGCAGTATGTTCTGCTATCCTTGACACTAGACAGGAATCTGTCCTGCCGGCCCAAGGGGTGTCTCTCACCTCACCTATATATGGCAGCCCAGGCAGAGAGTGACTCAGCTGGAGCCCTCAGGTGTGAGCTATGCAGTGAGACAGGGCTCTAGACAGCAGACTTTGCTAAGAAGCTGCTTTTGAGAAATTCCTTCAAGCCCAACAAGGAGGAAACCTGCTGAGCAAGCCACTGGAAAACACTTCATTTTCAAATGATCAGGAACTTCTCAGTGGCCTTGCTGCTGGAGCGACTGTCATTTTCATGTGGGTGGCTGGGAGGAGAATGGTATAATCTACCAGGGAAGCCACGAGGCTCCATGTCCCAAGATCCCCAAAACATCTACATCCTTTGCCTCAGAAATCTCACTCCAAGAGCTTTTCTAGAAGAAACAACCAAAGACCAACATTCACATCATTCCCTTTCCATTGCTTAGACAAGTGGGGGGGGAGGGGGGAGGGGGAAGCAAACAACATAAAGGTCCAATCACAGAGGAATGATTCAAGAACTTGTGGCATCTCCACATGAGATGGCCAAGCTAAGGATGAGGTACACACATTCCCGAGGGTGCAAGCATAACATAATTCTAGAAAAGTATATTAAGAGCATAGTGACCGTGGCTATCATTGATGGTAGATTAAGAGTGGGGTTGGGGAGAAAAGGGCATATTTTTCATTTGTTACCTTTCTATAAGATTAAAAAAAAAAAGAGAGAGTATATTTTTAATGAACTGCTTTTTAAAAAGTTTAAACACACTTTTAAAGAAAATGATAGCATTCCACGTGCTGTATGGAAAAGAGCTCCAAGACTGATGATCGAGTGGCAGCAAAAGCAGGGGTAGTCAGTGGGTCTTACTCACTACCATGTGCAAAAAGTAAGATGAGACTATCAAGCTGCATTTGGTTGTTTGGGTCTGTTTTTTGCATTGAGAAGCTGTAGCGGTGAAATTTAAGACTCCAAAGAACACCTCTGGGCACTGGGGGTGGAGATTCAGGAAGCTGGTGTACAGCCTTTTATATCGTTTGAGTTTTGAAATATTATAACGTACTACCACCCCAAGATTTAAATTAAAAAGTATAACCCCACCAATAGAGTGCTTTTGATCAATTTTTAATGTCTCAGAAAAAAGCTGCTGCTCTCTGCTTAATAAAAAGCTGCTAAGGACTGCAAATGCCCTGTGATTCCCAAAATAACTCACAGTGCATGTGTGTCGGCAAAGTCAGAATGAAACAGACCTGAAAGATGACAGTGGGAGCTGGCTGAGAGGCCAGATGAGTTTGTTTATATATTTGAACTTTTCTGTACTTTCCACAATGAGGATGCATTAATTGTGTAGCCACATTGTGTATTAAGTGTGCTTCATAAATTATATTTTTTCCAACTCCTTCCCCCAATGCATTTTGCTAGAATGCAGAAAGCCAGATGGAAGGAACTTTGCCTTCAAACTCTTTGATACATCAGGAATGGAAAAGGGAGGGCAAAGGAAGGCTCTGAAGGCTCACCACCTTCTAGGCACTCTCTCCTCTTGACGGAGGGAGACCAATAGGAAAGGCTGGGACTCTTGAGCCTTCTCTGGTGGCTCTCGGCCTCTCATGTCCTCCAAGCTTCTCCTCAGCACCTGTGTCTCTCCTGGCGTAATGAGAGGATGGGATGGAGAACACAGATCGGAGAAGGGACCCTGAAGACACTGGCTGTATCACTATACCCTTCTCTGTCTAGAAATGCTGTCCACCTGGCTGGGTACTAGCCATGATCTGGGTTTACAGTAATTGTCCAGGAACAACAATTGTCCAAAAAGCACCCTCTGCTCCATACTTCACTTCAGTGTGGAGCAGAGGGTGCTTTATCAGAAACATACGATAACTTTCTATATTGATACTGCCCACCAACATCCCTGGTGGCCTCCTGAAGCCCCAGGAAACAGGGCCTCAGCCTCAGAGACTCCAGGTGGTGAAGCCAACCAACCTCACCTGAGACCCAGAGGACAGCCAGCGCCAACAGCCACATGCACAAGCTTATGATATAGCATAACCACCCAGCTGAGCCCAGTCAACCCAAACTATCATGAGATAAGAAAGTGGATATGTTTTTTAAGTCACTGAGTTTTGGAGTGGTTTGACATATAGCAATAGAGAAACAAAAAAGTAACTTGTCCAAGGTCATTCAACTAGTCAGTGACAGAGGTGGGCTCCCAATGATTGTGTTCTGGCTCCAGAGTCTGCACTTTGCACACTGAGCTGTGCTGCCTCCCACAGGAAGCCTCCGTGCTCTGCATCTGCACCTGCACACTAGGAAGCCCCATGCTCTATGTCTGCACCTGCACACTAGGAAGCCCCATGCTCTATGTCTGCACCTGCACACTAGGAAGCCCCATGCTCTATGTCTGCACCTGCACACTAGGAAGCCCCATGCTCTATGTCTGCACCTGCACACTAGGAAGCCCCGTGCTCTGTGTCTGCACCTGCACACTAAGAAGCCCCCGTGCTCTGTGACTGCACCTGCACACTAGGAAGCCCCGTGCTCTGTGTCTGAACCTGCACACTAGGAGGCCCCGTGCTCTGTGTCTGCACCTGCACACTAGGAAGCCCCGTGCTCTGTGTCTGCACCTGCACACTAGGAGGCCCCGTGCTCTGTGTCTGCGTCTGCACACTAAAAAGCCCCGTGCTCTGCACCTGCACACTAGGAGGCCCCGTGCTCTGTGTCTGCGTCTGCACACTAGGAAGCCCCGTGCTCTGTGTCTGCGTCTGCACACTAGGAAGCCCCGTGCTCTGCACCTGCACACTAGGAGCCCCCGTGCTCTGTGTCTGCACCTGCACACTAGGAGGCCCCGTGCTCTGTGTCTGCACCTGCACAGTAGGAAGCCCCGTGCTCTGCACCTGCACACTAGGAAGCTCAGAGATGGAGTTACCCAGATCCTACTGCAGAGCCTCAGCTGGTGTCGAGGGCAAGCGCTCAGGAGCAGACGTGCACAGTGTACAAGTGGGTCTCAGCTTACGCCTATCTCACAATCTGTTTTTGTCACCAGAGTGACTCTGATAGGCACCGGGCCTGGAAGCCAAGGTGCAGACCTGGCCCAGTCTAAAGCAGCTGGTTTCCCCTTGGAAGCCTGGTTCCTTCCCCATTTCCAAATACACAGGTCACCTTCCAGGCTCTGAGCTGAATCCTGAGGGAACAAATGGAGGCTCATACATTTTGAATTCTAATCCAGGCTCCCATCGTTAGTCAGAGAAGTCACCGGGCTCCAGTAAACCTCAGTGTCATCCTCGCCTACCCCATGGCAACCAGCCTGACTGCCCTACTAGACAGAATAACAAAGGGACCAACATGTGTCAAACACCAACAATGTGCCGAAGTATTCGTGCATTTAATCCTCAGATACTATGAA